CACTGCATAGGTTGCGCTGGCTTGGCCACGTGTTGCGTATGCCAGTCGACCGACTTCCTCGAAGGGCTCTTTTCGCACAACCGCGTGAAGGGTGGAAGAGAGCCAGAGGCGGTCAATGACTTGGAAGCGAAGTATGAAAACAATACCAGCAAACCTCAGCTGCGCTGGTCACTGCCGTCTTCCTGGATAGGGACCCCGAGACGAGCCACATCAATGGCTAGAGACATTATCAGACAGGGCCCAGTCGCGCCCTCANATGATGAGATGAATGATGACCACGGTGGTGCGGAACTAATGACAGGAAGGTCCTGATTCGAACTCTGATGGGGCTATTGAGTTGCTCCTATCTTTGGACTACGATGATGATGATGATGACCACGGTGGTGCGGAACTAATGACAGGAAGGTCCTGATTCGAACTCTGATGGGGCTATTGAGTTGCTCCTATCTACGTTTGGACTACCTGCCAAAAACCTAGTCACCGTACCTCCTTAGAGCTGTACGGCAACTGCGCATCCACGTGGTGCCCAGCTGCCTTTTTGACACTTTTTGGGGTAAGACAGGAAAACACTAGGCTACTCCTTGCTAAGTCTCTTCATGGAGGCGAATTCTCCCTCTCTCACCTGTCCCTGGGTGAGACGGGACTACGGAACTCGTACAGATTAAGAGGGCTTCGGTGAGTCGGAAGATATTGTTCGAAGGAAAACCCAAAGCCTCAGATTCAATGCGAAAAACTGAAGTGCATAGCAAATAAGATACACAGTATGAAGTGGACATGACAAGATCAGCAAACTTACTTCAACTCAGCTTGGGCTTCTAGAAGACGCTTCTTTTCCATCTCTTCTTCACGTCTTTGATTGGCTTGTACAAGAGAATTGCCATCCTGAAAGTCAGCACCGATACCAAGCGCCTCTTTGAATACGGTGTTCTTCAGAACATTCACGGCTGCCGTTTCGTGCGTCCCCTTCGGTATAATTCGACCAGTCTCCGGCTCAGGGGCAACCGGCACAGAAACGGCCACCACTGACTTCTTCCGATCTTCAGCTTTCAACTCCTCAAGGAGCGACGCGCGGAAAGCAGAAACCTTCCGCGTGATTTCCGACTGCATGTAACTAAGAAGATGAACGCATGAAAAATGGAATTACCCTTGTTCTTCCATAAGTTGCTCCAACTCGAAGCATTTTACCTCGATCTTTCGTTTGCGTTCGTGTTCCAAAATTTCCTTGTTTGGTTCTTTGAAGTGGGCAGCATCTGCCCGCTTGACATCGTCATCCGTTTTGTATGGTATCTTTTCTTTGAAAGTGCTTATAAACGCGAGATTCCGCTGTACATAGCCATTAGTTCCGCTGCCACGGGGAGTGGGTAAGCCGATTCCGTTGTACATTCTCGCGGACTGAACAGGGCGCCAAAAATGGTGGGTGCAACTAAACACGGAGCTGGTTAAAGGATTCACGGATTGATACACAGGATCGAGGCTTTTGCCCAAGTTTCCTGGGTCGGTTTTGTTCTTGTCGGTCAGTGGCTGTCGTTCACCTGAAAGGCACAAGTGAAGGACTCGTGGGACAAACAAGGAATAGAAGGCGTAGAGGGATAGTCACAGCAGTTCCTTCACTTCCAAAGCATCATCAAGAGCTTGTGAGCTTTCAGTGATTATCTCCTAGGAAGTAATTGTTGAAACCACGCTGGGGAGATCCATGACAAATGCCTCATGTGTTCTATAGGTGTATATACGGGTGGGAAATGTGAGTTTGTGGTTTCTCATCAGAAAGTGTTCAGTACTACTTACGCATCCGAAGTGGGTGCCTGGAAGTAGACAAAACACCGGCGGCGGTGGATATGATGGCATCTATCAAAGTATAGCCAGAAGGAGAACCCGACGTGTTAACTTGTAAAGAAAATTCTGCCTGAGCTTAGGTAAGCAGTATGGTATTGAGGTGCTGTGATGGTGTACGAAATCGGATGGTGGGTATTTAGTAGGGAGAACACGGAAAAGGCGACACGTTCTCGAAAGAGCAATGGACATTGTGTACGTAAACGTGTTGTTACGGTGAAAACCAACAATTACTGGACTGCCTGCAAGCTAAGAGGATCAACACTTGTGAGCGCTAGAGTAAGGCCGCTTATTGTGTGTGTAGTGGACCAGAGAGCGAACCATTTGAGTATTTACCGGCTGAGTATGGGATAGTTACTGGCACTAGCAAGGCAAGCTAAACCCAATGATTGCAGAGCATTCACACAATTGATGGGGCCCACAAAAGTATGAAGTCGTCGGACAGGGGCTGAATAAAAGTGGATGCAATGATTGCAGAGCATTCACACAATTGATGGGGTCCACAAAAGTATGAAGTCTTCGGGCAGGGGCTGAATGAAAGAAAGTGGATGCAGGGAGGGATTTGTCTAGATCAAGAAGGAGAACGTAAAACGGGGAACAGAAAATTGACCGGTGAAATAGTCGAGGGAGACGGTCCCAAGAGATGCAACCAGGGTATATTAAAGGGTGTGAACATCCTCCGCACAAACCACTGCACAATCGATGGAAATATTATGCCTGACTCAACTCTCGCCTACCTGTTACCGGACTCCGAGTTTGGAGCCAAAATCGTTGGATAGCCCTAGACTCCGAGTTTGGAGCCAAAATCGTTGGTATTGGTGAAGTGGTGAAAAACCTGTTTGGATAGCCCCCCCAGAAGGTCTGGGAACTATGAATTAGTTGGCAGCAGAGGTAGTGATCGTTTCGAGGATGAAGTTATGGCTGGATGTAAGCAGAAAGGAATGTTGCAAAGGAGATGTACACGTGCGGTAGAAAACGATGCATCAAACAAAACACTTCCTATGGCTTGATGGAAACAACGAACTGATGCGGCAGTAAATCAGTAGGAAACAAACACCTAGGTAAATGTGATATTATCACCAAAGCACACAAGGAATTACAGGGGATTTCACGATACCTCGGTGACTAGGGCGTCAACTTAGTGATGGAATATCCCCGGTTTGAATCCAGGCTATGAAAACAACGACCCACATAGTGTCAGCAGACCAGCCAGCGTCAGCAGAGTCGTATGGAAACTGTGCATCGAGGTGCCACTCCTGAAAAATTACCATCACTTCGACAGAGCGTGCAGTTACCCATGCTTTCCTCCAAACACACTTATTTCTCAATGGCACTTCTCAGCACCGTCAATCCAATCTCTCGGTCCCTTCGACGCAATGCACATGAATCGTGCATGTCGCTATCAGCAATGATGCCGCCAACACGCACGACTAGCCTACTGGTGAGGTGTAGACGGTCTTTAAAACGATCGGTTGTGGGTTTGTTTAGCGTCTTCTCCATAATGAAACTTCGCCGAAAGTTCAGCGCTAAAACGCCAGAAAAATCTTACCCGGAGCCGAAGTCATTTATTGCACTCATATCTTTGAATTATGGTATTATATCGAGATGAAGAGGAACGGGCAGACGGTACCTGTATCCAATTGCTCAATGCGGTGCTAGCGCTCATGGTATGGCCATCATGTTTAGCTTGCCTGAATGCTAAAAGGGTCTGTGCGAACGTGCCCACCGATCTCTTTCTCTGGTTTTGCGCCGGATTCGGGGAGTCAACCGCACTAGCGCATCCAGCCGCGTACCTAACGTTTGCTTCATCCTGATTACGCGCGAACGACCAGTGGGACTACTACCACCAACAAACAAAGCTGTACCGCGTGCCAGCCAACCACGTGTTCAAATTACAAACACAATACCAATTACAATATCAATGCTAATTGCGATCACAATAAAAATATTGCCTTCCCTTGATATGGACCATGATGGCAATCATACGCCTCTGTTGAATATTTCTACCCGTCGGAGGAAGTATTGTCAAGTCCAGTCGCAAACTGAAAAGATGCGCTATCATTCAAGCCTTTAGAATGGCTTTAATACTTACTTGACTGGAAAGTGGATCGATGTTAACTTGCGATTCAAACAAGCTCTAAATGAATATATTGCCTCTGATATATCGCTTCCGGATTCAAGGCATCACAGTTTGGCGGATATTGGACACATCGATATTCTGATATGTCTTCTCTAAATTTGATAATTTGGTGCTCATTTTTATCAGGTTCTCTTGCTGTGATAATATTTTAGCTCGCTTGCATGTCTGCCATTATTTTGACTGTCATCTCATTATTGATGTAAGTACACGTACAATAACTTGCCATATGGCAGTGAATGCTCTAGGTAATTAACGTCGGGGAATCAGAAAATGATACTCTTTTTCTTGTTTCTAGCCATAAGTTAGCCATAAGTTTCTTTTTTATGCATGGAAAATCCTCATGCGAATTCGAAAGTTGGTCAGAATAGTTCTTGTATAACGGTGAATTCTGAAGAATTTCTTCGCAATGGGAATGTGTCGGTTCATGATCGAACGCCCTCGAGTCAGAGATCGTCGGTTGTCATTTTCACAATTCATTTGTTTTACTGTTTTACCTTGATATACCACCTGCACTCTTGTATCAAACTACGTTACGACAGACAGGTGATAGTCAAGGCCCTTTTGTAAACAGGTTTACTAACTGCGATTTTGATTGCTGTTGATCAGTTGTGCATATATCATTTCGCCGAGGTAGGCAATGGACTTGCAAACCTTTCCTCACCAAATATGGGGACATCACCGAAACGCATATAAGCTCACTGATAGCATCAAATCACTTAATGCTGAAGGCCTTACAGTTTGGTTGACAAGCTCGGCAAACAGATCTGCAGTCGCCTGGTCGACAAGCAATAAACGCGCATAGGCTACCAGATATTCGGCGCCGCCAAATGCCGCTTTTTATCTCATGAGGATGATCATTCTCAACTCTGAGAGAGGGCAGCAGTATAACGGCGACCGGGTGTCGGGTTCTAGATGTTAATAGGATGTGAATATACTGTCTCTGCTGCCTTCGAGGGTAGGGAGCCGAAAGTTTAGTGAACTGGGAGGTTAATAGGCCTAATAGCTGTGCTCTGGGTTTGCGTCCAAGGCTACAAAGCAGGCGATATTACCCCAGAGGCCCTTTTGGAGCCTTTCGGGCCTGGTTACACTAACTGTCTATGACGCGGAGATATCAATAGACGGTTACTCTGTTTTTTGAGCTGACTCGAAACGAGGGAGGACTGGTGGGGTTGCTTTGTACTTATATGCGGCCATGCCCAACCCGACTGTCCCCCTCTGATACGACTCCTGCACCCTTTTGGAATGCACCGTGGATCCAAGTTCCGCTGCGCGGGTCCGATCTCTCCTTCTCTGCGTGGTCTATCGTAGCCCCCCGAGTCATTCTGAAGATGACCAATTACTCAAATGAACCCTTGAGCAACCGTCCTCCGGCTGCAACTTCACTCATCTGCTGGCGGGTAACTTCAACACTCCGAAGGCCTCCTGGATGAAGCTCCAGCGCATCGGATCAAGCGGACGTTTTGCGGCGGCGCTGATTGAAGTCGTTCAACGGAGCGCTTGGAATCAACATGTCGTTGCACCCATCAGATGCCGGGCAGGCGAACAACTATTCCTCCTGGGTTTGGTCATCACCGACGAAAGACACTTCGTTGATTAGGTAACAGTTAACGCTCTACTAGGACACCGCGATCACTGCGTACCAACCTTTGATTTTATCTGCTACTCAGCCGGAAATTCCGAAACTCATACGTGGTTTCGAGACTTTTCCTGAATGCGTATCTTCCTTAAAAAATTCACACTGGGACCAGCTCCAGTGGAAGAATTATATAGGACCATTGTCCAGAAAGTTAACGAGGCTGACGCGATGTTCGTCCCAAAATAACGGGCACGCAATCGGATGAGCCGCAGGTTGCCAAAAAGGATTTGGAAACTTCTGGAAAAAAGGCCCCAACTCTTCAACTTTCCAACCTGGTTGGAAATGAAAGGCCGACGACAAAGACGCTGAAGCTTGTAACGCCGATTCTACAGGGCTTCATGCACGGCGTAGTCTGTCTACAGGCCATCTCAGTTAAGTTTTCCCACGGCTGGTGTCTGAGTTCTAGAAGACTTTGGAAATATTCCTCATAGAAACTGAATAATTTTCTTTAGCGGCCGGTTTATTGGTGAAGTGGACAACAGCCATAAACTCTCAGCACTGCTCCGGGCCTATGGGCTGTGCTTCTGCCGGATTAATATGGACCTAAATACTCCGCACATCAGGTTTCAAGAACTGGAACGGAACACACTTCAACTTCTTATTGACTTAGAGGGAAAGCCCCAGTGGTTGTCACATCCGAGAGGTAATATAAGTTCCAGCTTCCTAACCTTCTACATTCTTAAGTATAGGACCAGATCCAGATGTGTTGGTAACTAGCCATTTGTTGATTATTTATGACGGGCTTCAAATCGTGATCCGCCTCGGGAAATTTATAGTTGATGTTGTAGGCACATCAACGAGAAGAAAACATATACTAACCGACTTCTGAGACATCGAGATTGTTTGGAATAATTCATAATGCCCTGGAAGTGCCTTCGCGGGCGCTATTGCGAAGACAACAGGGGACGCTGGATTGCAATGCCAGTGATGTTTGGGCGTTGGAAACTCCGGGGATGAACAGCGGTCTCTACATGATGCCATCGTGTGAATGCTAACACCCATCTCCAGTGAACCTGGATGTTTGGATGGTGGTTTCTCCGCTGAACTAAGACACCGATAGCACCCCGATAGCTGAATCTCCACCATCAAATAACTGTGGCCGTAAATGCTGGTGGCTGAGCGTGGCTATAATTACCAGGTACAGTAGTTATGCGACACCACCCGATCTCAAAAGCGACGATGGAGACAATAGTGGATGGTGGTTTGCGATCAATGCCAACCGACCTGGCCATATGCGAATATGGGAAATCTTAATTAGCCACATGTTGCGCCAACACGTTAACTGTTATTCATGTAACCGTCCATGGACATGGGTGGGAAGGGCAAACATGTAAAGAGCTGGTTCTCAAAATTGTGCCCACCTCGTTCCACCAGGCGTAATTGGCATAATTGGCATGAGTTGGAGCGTGCCATGGCAAAGACGAGGGTCAGAAAGCTATCACAGATAGTTTTTGGAACGCTCATTGAGAAAGCGCGTTGCGGTGTTGCAAATGAATACAATTTATTAGTTGGGGGCCACGGTGAACATAGAATACTGACTGGGGATTCGGATACCTTTGTAGTATTATGTATTGCAAGAAAAGATGTGTAACCTAGTCTTGTAAGTTTGGTAAGTCTGGATGAATTAGCGTTGCAAGTCATGCAGGGGCAAGTGGCTGGAGTAAATCGTGAGGCAAATGGTTGTGTCGCACGGTTGATTGAAGGTTGGACCCCGGCATGTTGCAGCAACAACTTTGAAAAAGGGTTAGAATATTTGGAAAGCGGCGAAAAGGATGTCACATCGTGTACACAAGAGACAGCATTGCTACCCTGCTATAATTACTGTTGTGGATACGTACGATGATTTTTTGAGGCAAAGGCTACAACCGATGCGTGCTTAAGCAATCCACACAGGCGTTCATTTCAGTTTTTCTCGAATAATGTTAAAATTATTGATGGTTTTTTGGCGAGCAGATCGTTTTAATCCGGAAGTTTGCTAAGATCGTCCGCGGCGTGTTTTCGCA